TTTTACACTATTTTATTAAGAAGATTTGAAAACGCCTAAAAGACATGCATATTGTTAAAAAAAAATCCCGCATGGCAAATTCAGTTTGTAAGCGTCATTAAGATATTTGCCAAGGAAAATAAAGAAACCTCTGCCCATGAGATTGCACATGGTGAAAGTGGTCCTTCCAACCCTGTCTATCTTATGCTAGATGGCAGCCCAGAATTTCGCTGTGCAGCAGCTACAAACAAGGTGTTACTGTCTGGAAGGGAAGGGACTGTGGAATTTCCACTGGTTGGCGAGCAACCCAGCTTTAGTTATTCCAGATACTCTGCATGTACAGGCTTATGACACTGGAGAACTTTGATGGCATCCTTTACTTTGAATCACTCTGTCTTCCTTCCTGTATTAACAGAATCTTCCCAGTATCCTAATATTTCAGTGACAGTAAGGACATAAGACATATGTCCTGTGCTTTCTGTCTTGGTTCTCAAATATGCCCAGGAGTCTGCCTGACTTTCCTTTGACTCCAGGCTCTTGGTAAGCCTCCCTCACGGCAGCACCGGCAGGCTCCTCCCAGGGCTCCAGTCTGCCTCCTGGGCCAGTCCACTGGTCTGGGACCGACGGCTGCCCACCAGCAGCACGTCGTCCTCCTGCTCGCTCCGGGAGCACAGAGACACCGCCCGCTACTTGAATCCCTCGAGGTCCAAGGTCCGCGGCCGGGGGGGGGCTTGGACCTCATCGCAGAGGCGGGCTCTCGCTGCCGCGGCTCCTGCGGAGGCCGCCACCCCGCCCGGGGGTGGGGGTGAGGGCAAGTCGAGGCGCAGGGGGGCGCGGCCGGTCAGTCCCGGAGTCGGCGGCCGCTCGCCCCGGCTCCCTCCCGCCGCTGCCGCCGCCGCTCAGGGCAGAACGGGGCGCGAGGCGCGAGGAGACGGCTGCAGGGGCTCCCGCCGGCCAGGCAGCAGTGCCACGGCCGCGCGGGGTCTGGGGTCGGCTGCGGGCCGTCCCGCCAGGGCCCTCTGACGTGCTGCGTGTGCACAGATGGCTGCGCGGTGCCCGTAAGTGCGCCGTCCCTGGCGGGGCCTGTGTTCGGGGACGGGTGTGTTTGTGTCTGCAGTTGCCGCAGTTCGTTCCGGCCCTCCAGACCTCCCCAGCCCCACTATCGGCCTCGTGGTCCTGACATGCCCGCTGCTTCTGCCTTGGATGCTTTCTCTGTGCTCCGCCCCCAGCACGTCCACGTCACGCCTGCTGCCTTAGTCCTGCAGAAATCCTGCCCTTTGGATTTGTGCCACCTTCTGTAAGTTGAAAGCTTCTGGACTAATTGCGGCATTGAGTTGGAGTCAGAAGAGGAGGTGAGCAAAGTGATTTCTGTCCTGTACTTATTTTTTTTCTACCTTTTCAAGCTATTATTTCAAGATGCCTTTCTGAGGACAAGGATTAAAATTCACTCCCTTAGCTTTGTTGCTATTCTTCATTTCTAATCAATTGGGAACTACAAATAATCTACTTTTAAAAATTGTTGTATATGTTTACTCATTTGTTTTGGAATAAATTTGGTGAAGATGAGTTTATGGGAAAGCAAAGTGTGACCAGGGGTTAGGAATTTAAATTGAAAATTGAATCTTCATGAAGCTTTCCACATTTCATTGGATGTTATATTCTACAGTGAAGTTTCATATGATTATTAACTATAAGTATATTACTAAATATCGTGGTTAAACTGTTATTAAAATAATATATCATAAAGCCATTAATGTTTTTACATAATACAGTTGTTTGATTATTGAATTTCTTGTCAGATATTAGTAGGCAACCTCTTAGTTTTTTCTTGTAGTGATTTTGTAACAAGAATAAAAATATATTTTAAATCTGTGTGACAGTTTTATTAAAATGACTTGAGAGTGTATGAGCATTTTTCAGTTTACTTTCTTCTTTCACATTATATTTTTAATTTTGTGTCCTTCTACATTGTATTCTAAAATTTGGAACCAATTGATAAGTGCTTTTCACTTCACTATCATGAGGGATGTTTTTTCAGATGAAACTGAAAAATTTAGTAATTCATCTTTTGTCAGTATTAAAAGCAGACCAGCTAAGTTCCTTTGTGCCACACTAACATAATACCAGAACATAAGAAAGGTTTCTGTATTACTTTATGTGCTCTGTGATAGCGTCTTTTCTGTGAACACACTCAACTCCAAATAAGACCCTGACATTGAAAATTTACTTGTACATACACAGGGGTTATATTATGCTTCCTTGATCCTTGAAATGAGTATGGATGCAGACAGAAATCTTTGTGCTGTTCTCCCTAAGGTATTGCCATCAGAGAGACAGCAAAGGTGGTTGACCAAGCCCAAAGGAGGGTGCTGAGGGGAACTGATGACCTGGACTTTTTCATAGGGGATGAAGCCACAGATAAACCCACATATGCCACAAAGGTAAACTCCCCACCGGGATTTGCTTCTGTAAGTGTATCACCAAGAACAGAGCAGTAGGATGAATCATGCAAAATGGTAGATTTCGTAGCAATTGTACTTGTGAGCTGTGTATTCTTGTATTGGAAAAGAGGTTTTGTTGTTGTTGGTTTTTATGGGGTATTTTTCAAAATTGAAGTATAGTTGATTTACAGTGTTGTGTTAGTTGAACAAGGTATTTTTCATGTGGGGAATCAAGTGAATTTACAAAACCCCGGAATGCAGGATTGACTCTGGGAATGCTGGGCTTCATGTGAGAGCAAGACCTGCTTCTGTGGAAAATTGCAGGTTGACTCACTAACCTGTCAGATGTAGAAGAGCTGTAGATTGATTAATTAAAAAGAAGCACTAAAATTGTTTAACTAGGTATTTGTTCTAAAAACCTCCAAACTCCAAATGGAATGGTATGGCAGATTAGCTGTAATTTTCCATCTGTTACTCCACTGTTAAGATGATAATTTGTACTTAGAGATGTGAAGTAGAATATAAGCGATAATAAAACTTAATATTTCTGGTAAAGTGCCTGTTATTTCTTTACATAAATTAACATTCACCCAGTGCAAAGGACCTGTTTTCTCTGATAACTCAGTCTCTTCTGGTCCAGTGTTTTTAAAACTGTTGCTCTTACTGACATGGACTGAAGCTTGACATAGTTTGATTTCTCTTGCTTTGGTATCCAATAAGACATGGAATAATTGGAGACTGGGATCTAACAGAGAATTTCATGGAACAAGTTATTTTTGATTTTCCCTGAGCTGAATCTGAGGACCATCACTTTTTGATGGTGAGTAACTGGGACTGAGAGAAGAGCCCTTTGGATTCTGGGTTGCTTAGATTGTAAACCCAGGATATTCTTCTCTGGGGAGCTTTTAGTTCCCACTAAAGCTCTTTGTATGAGTTGGAGTGCTTTTTGGGCAAATAACAGAAGGCTCAACCAAAATGTCCAAAACCAAAGAGGGCTTATTATCCCACAAAACAGGATGCCAGAGTCAGGCCACTCAGGGCTGGTTACTTGAGCAACTCAGAGGTGGAGGTGAGAACCCAGCCTAATTCACCTGTTTGGCCTCTTATGCTGGTTCCCCTCAGGCCCCAGAGTGGCTGCCCGAGTTCCTGTACTGACTCTCGGTGTATTTACTTTCGGAGTTTTAGAATTAAGGCTCCCTTCCTCAGAAACCTTCCTGGCAGATTTGCCCTGTCTCTCCGTGCCCAGTGTGGGCCCTAGAGGGGAACAAAATTACTTCAGTACATTTTGATGAGTCAAGATTCTCTCCTGTTGCTGGTGAGTGGACCACATCTCATTACCTGGTCCCAAGAGGTAAGTACCTAAACCGGCCTCCAGCAGCAAGGAATGAGGAGGGAGGAATGGGTTTGGGTAGGAAACCACCTGTGTCATTAGGTGTCCTCCTGAAATAACTGGATGGCTCTGAACTTTGCTTCTTACAGCAGAGGGAGCTGAGTCAAGGTGCTATTTTGTCAAGGTTAAATCTCACTCTAACACTGAGCTGAGTTATGGGCCCTGATATTGTGGATGTAATTGAACTTGTTCAGATGAAATGAAACAATACAGAGAAATGAAGAGAAGTTTCTCTTGGTTGTGGAGTCTGTTTTCATTGTTCTATGTTCTTTTCAAGTTAAAATTAATTACATTTATAAAACACTTACTTTAAGGATAGCTATTGCATGTAACATAAGCTGCACACTAAAACCTACATAATTTAGCTTTGGATTTTTTCCATGCTAGTGCAATGTCAAATGTCCCTGATCCAATTATATAATTCTTTCTAGTGTTAAAGATCGAATATGCTTTAGAATTATCTGGCTTAAAATATGTTAAGTACAAGGCTGTTATGGTAGTTAGTGGAATCTATATATTTTGTGTCTATTAAATCAAATCCTTGAAAGTGCTCTAAGCTTTTTCTTGGCTGTATCTTCACAACTAGGAATTGCCATGTCCAAGTACTGTGTTTTACAGGCCACTGTGTATTTTCCTTCCTGTGTGTCTACGATGGTTTATGTAAAATACATGGAGCCAGGAAACTGACAGTATGTCTAAGTGGCTTTGTCTTTACAGCCAAAAAAATTACAGACTCCCACCTGCCATGCTTGGCATGTTCCCTTCTCTCGTACGTCACATAACTACCTGTTGGTAGGACTCCAGGCATGGGCCTGTGGCCCAGCTGCCTCTCTCTGCCTGCCCCATCCCGCTCTGCTCAGAAGGAGTCTGAGTCTTAGGCCCATGGAGCAAATGCAACCACCAGGACACAGCCACAGGAAATTTTTCCTACCAGGAATTTTTCTGCTCTAGCTGGCATATACACTGCAGTACAATAAAACCAATTGCTGGGAAGGAATTGGAGGTGTTTGGTATGAATATGGAAAAGCTTAAGTCCTTTGCCAAAAATGAGTATCTGAAGTGAATGTTCAAAAATAATCAAGTTTATTACATTAAACATAACAAAATATTGTGCTACATGTATTGTACTTTGAAGTTAGCAGGAGGGTTTGCTGCATGATGTGACAGAGGAAGTTATTAGAAGGGTGGGTGTTTCTCAGGCTTATGTCCTTTGTCATCAGTTAATGGGATAATTAAAGGGGAGTGAAGCAGGTACAGGGATTTGTGGCCATATCCAGAAATTCATTGAAGACATTTACTGAGCCACTACATCTGCTAATGGCTTCTTGGTGTAAAAGAGTCTAAAAGTTTTAAATTAAAGTTCCCTCAGTAGCATATGAAATTGTCCCTTCTGACTGCCAAGACAGATGTCTGCACATCCATGGTGGGAATGAGCTCAGTACGGCTCATGTTTTTCAAGAAGTTTCAGAGACTCATCTCATGTTGGTCACATGGAGTAAACCGATAGCGAATGGGAACCACGCTCTTTTCTCTAATACTGAATTGCCCAGTGTTCAAAACAGAATCATATATTTTAAAGAACTGCAGTGTTCTGGAGGGGAAATTGAATTGTAACTTTAGAGGAGATTTGCAAACTTTTTGAATATGAATCAGGGGAGGAAGGGCAAGCAGCAGTGCTGCCCAAGGATGCTGGGAACAAGGAGCTCTGCCATCCACCCGAAAGCAGGAAGGATGGGTGTCCCAGCTCAGGGATGGAAGATCACCCTTCCTTTATCCTTTTGTTCCACTCAAGTCCTCTGTAGCCTGTGTGCTGTCCACCCACATTGGCAAGGGCAGGTCTCCTTACTCAGCCTACTGCATGCTAAGCTCTTCCAGAGACACCCTCTCAGACACACCCCAGAAAGAATGGTTTACCAGCTCTTGGGGTATCCCTTAGCCCAGTCAGGCTGACACATAAAATTTACCATGACATGTGGTTTGTCCTGGCTTACCACAGTAACTCCCTTCCTGGTTCATGAGGGTGGCTCAGACCTGTTCTGTCCAGTACACTAGCACTGGCCGGTGAGGAGCTGGACTTCCTTGGCGCTGCTGAGTCTGTTACTGCTGGCCCGTGTTCGTCCCATTTTCAGTATATTGTCATCTCCGCTCCTACTTGCTCTTCCTTGAGGATTTATGTTTTTAAAAATATTTCTTTACTGCAGTTATGGAGAGGTTTGGGACTTGAGCAATATTAGTTGCATGTGTTCAGCTTGCTTTCTTTATCCAGAAATATGGATTGATTTTTCTAGTACTGACTAATTATTCATTTTTGAATTAATACTTGATGATATTTTACCATTATTATGAATAAAAATGCTTATGTAACTTGTATTCATGTGAAGTTTTAATCATGTGCTTCAGTATTAAAAAATAAGAAAAACTTGATATCTCCAATATAGATTTTTTTATTATATAAATAATGGTTTTTGGAAGGTTTTATTTAAATTAGTCCTCTAAAGAAGCAATTACTGGTGGTAAACATAGGAGAAAATGAAGATTGAGGAAAACATAGATTTATGATTATGGTTCTGAGAACCCAGAAGAATGTGTCTTTAATAATGCTGAATTTGATTCAGGAACCAGGAGAACCTAATTTTATTGTAAATATTCACTTCACCGAAGTGTATAGATTTTAATGTAAATACTTCACAGATGGTGAATTCTTTGGCAGCAAGTACTAAAGTGTAAAAATCAGTGATTTAAGCAAGTTAAAGGTTTTATTTTTCTTAAAGATATTTGTAGTAGGGAGGGCAGTGCTGGTATGTCAGCTTCCTGATGTCACTAGGGATCTGTGTGCTGTAGTATATTTAGCATACAGCTTCCATTCTAAGATTGCCTTAGATCACAAGTTAGCTGTTGCAGCTCCAGTCATCACCTCCATATTCCAGGAAAGAAGGGGTTAAGAGCAGAAGTGGGCCTACTACATGAATCTACCTTCAACCTTGTAAGGAGATTTCCCAGAAGACACTTCCAACAACTTTTGCTTCTTATTGGCCAGAACTTACTTAACCATCCCTGTCCACCAGGAAGTCTGGGAAATGCTGTTTTCTGGGCCTGTGATTGATCAGTGCTCTGCCATTAAGGCAGAAGGCAGAATAGATACTGTGTAGGGAAACTGCAGTGCCTGCCATAATGATGTGACTATAGGTATGAAGACAGTGGCAGAACGAGAATTCAGCTGTCTTCACAACTGTGGTTGGATATGGAAAGTGTTTTCCAAGTTACAGAGCCAACAGGCTAGGGAAAAGCCATACCAGCATGCGCTGTGGCTTCTGCCCTGGGCTGAAGTCTTTCTTCTGTTAGCTTCTCCACCTGTGGAGAAATAAACCAGGATGTTGTATTGGGAGTTTCTGTGACCTTCGCACATAGGCTGTAACTCAGGGTTTCACAACTCTTGTAAAGAATTTTTTTTTCTTATTATAGAACTATAAGTGCGATTTAGAAAATTTGGAAGATGCTTGTGGGACTTTTCACACTCCTATCCCATTATGTTAAATATTAACATTTAGTATAGCTATACTTAATCTTTTCACTCATGTTTTTATATGATTTTGCATTCAATATTGTGTCCTCCATCCCTCTCCCCCATTTTCTTGCACGGTTTTCATAATACTCATTTTAATGGTCATACAATCATGTATCCAGTGGTTGTTTCCTATCTGTTTAGCAGCCCCACTATTTTTAGATGTTTACTTTGTTTCCAGTTTCTTGGTTTTGTTTAGACATAACATAAAGTAATCTTTGCACATTTTTTTCTATATTTAGAGCATTTTTATATTAAGAATATAAAAATTATATATATATACAATTTGGAGGTTCAGATGTGGTAATAATTTTGAATATCTGGTATACCTTTTCACACTGAAATCTTCAATGTAAAGAAGCCACATTATTTGAACTCTTAGGATTGATTAATATCATTTTGGTTACTTGACTTTTTAATTTGCAGTTTGAATAACTTTGATCTTAAACATTTTTTCATGTATTTATTAATTGTATTTTCTCCTTTGTGAATTGCCTATTCATGTAATGGGTTTTGTACATATCAGTGTTTTATTGCTTTTATTGTTGCTATGATTTCTTTGAACTTTTTTTACTTAAATTTTTCTTTTGTGCTAAAATGCACATACCATAAAATTTACCATTTTAACCATTTCTGAATGTACAGTTTGGTGAGTTGAGTACATTTAAATTGTTGTGCAACCATCACCACCATCCATCTCAGGAACTTCTTCATCTTCCAAATTGAAACTCGGTCCCCATTAAAGAATAACTCTCTTTCCCCCTCCCCCAGCCCTAGCCCCTACCATCCCCCCTCTGTCTCTATGACTGTAACAATTCTGGGTCCTCATATAAGTGGAATCATCCAGTATTAGTCCTTTCATGACTGGTTTATTTCATTTGGTATAAGGTCTTCAGGGTTCAGCCACATTGTAGCATGTGTCAGAATTTCCTTCCTTTTTTAGGGCTGAATAATATTCTGTTATATGTATGGCCATAATCTGTTTATGGTGTGAACTCTTTCATATAACAGTTAAGAAGTTTTTGTCATAAGCAGATACTTTTTTTCTCACTTGATTTTTTGTAGGTTATGTTTTTGAACACCTATAATTGTAAATTTTTATGTAAGTAGACCTACTTTCCTTTGATGTTTATATATATTTTTCATTCATCTGGGATTTATTTGGAACATCACTTGACACTGAAATTAAACCCAGGAAGAATCCAGAGCCAGGGTTAATCTACTTCTTGTTGGAATGTCTTTTATAGGCTCACTTTTTTTTTTAAGCCAGGCAGGAAGGAAACATTGCATGACTATGCTCCCACTTTGCATACCTTTCTAGCCTTCCTCTCTTCATACTATTTCCCCCTCTAATCAGCTTAAATGTTATGTTTATAAAATTAACTTATTAACGTGCTTGGATTCCTCTTCAAGGTAAGAGAAGACTCTAGGTATCTGGAGTTAATACATTCAATTTCTTCTGGTCTGAGATATATTGTTGATATTACAGTTGATTGTTGATATATTCAGCCCTTGTTAAGGGCCCAGCCCTCTCCCCACCAAGTATTTGCATTAATTCACTCACTTATTTAATCCCACAGACAATTGTGAGGTAGGTAGTTATTAGGCCTGTTTTTCAGGTTGATAGGTGGTGCCATAAGGAGATATATTGTAACCTAAATATTG